ATCCTGTATCTTTGTACAAGTGTTTCTTTGTAAGACGTTTTGAGATCCTGAATTATGCTCTTCTCTTTCAAGATTGTTCTTGCTTTACTATAACTCCATACTGCTTTAGGGTCATTCGAAATTCATTCAAAATAGCAAATCAAACTTTGGGTAGGGATTACACGGAATCTTTATGTCAACTGAGAAATATTTGAATTTCAACCATTTTAATATTTATCATCCTTTACCATGGTGAGTTTCCATTTATTTAGGTGCCTGATTTTTGTACACAGTGCACTTAGAATGCTATATTCCACATTTCATTTGTTAAAATTTGTTACGTACATTGAATTTTTCTGAGGTTATTATTTTTATTCAACATAATATTTTTATTGATTCTTTGGGAATTTCATATCATGTAGCCCTGACCACAGTCAGTTCCACAGTCCTTCCATGTCCAACCCCAGACCCTTGTGATCTCCTCCCAAAAAAAAACAAGTCTGATTTGTGTTATCTATATACGTACTGGAGCGTGGTCAAACTCTCAGTGGCCTGTCCTCAATGGCTTGGCTGCAGTGGGACAAAGGACCCAGAGAAGGTCCATAGACATCACCATGGCCTCAGCTGGTATATATAACATCTACATGGCATTTAGTGGTAACATGGGCCACAGACATTAACACAGACCCAAGCTGCAATATGATGCCAGACCCAGACATGGCCCATGACCACAGCATGAACCCAAACTCTGATGCTATGAACAAAAAAAAAAAATATCCATTTCAGTTACATTTTCTGATTATTTCTTGTTAGTATAATTATAGCTGCTTCTGAAATATGATCTTGTACCCTGAAAACTTACTGGATTCATTTATCAATTGTAGAGGGTTGGAGAAAACAGGGTCCCTTGAGGGTTTGCTCTTTTCAGGAGCACATTATTTGCAAGAGTGATGGTTTTGCATTGTCCTTTTAAATTGAAGCATTTTAAAACATTAGTTCATTTATTCTGCAGTTTGCCACATCGCCCGGGGTGGACTCTCCAGGGCAATGACTAAGGGAAGTGGAGTTTGCACATCTTATATGGTCCTCACCCATCTTATTTAATTTTATTATATCTTATTTTAGTGTGTGTGTGTGGGGGGGGTGCACATGCATGTACATGTATGGACGCATAGGCCTGTACAGGAAGTCTCTATCTTCTTTCCCTAGAAACAAGTTTCATACTCAAGCTGAAGCCTGCTGATTTGGTGAGGCTGACTGGAGGACCCTGTGCATCTCCAACCCCCAGATCCCGGGGATGCTAGGCCCGGGTAGCAGTGCCCTTTCCAAAGTTTAGCTTATTTGGGTTCTGGATGCTAGGGACCCTAACTAGGTCCCCAGGCTTGCAGCACAAGGATACTTACCCAAGGAGCAATATGCTCAGCCCCTAATTTACTTCTTAAAGCTTGATGGGTAATGAGTTACTTTTCATAGAATTTCTAACTGTTTTGCACTGAAGAAAACCAAGACACCTGTATTGATTAGTTAATTGAAACCACCTGTTTGCAAGTTGCTTCTCTTCTCGCTCCACGTAAACATATACCCTCTTCATTACAATTAGGCGGAAGGAAGTTACGCATGGTTTCATTTGGGATTCTCCCTTGGGAAGTATCAAAACACACCTTCTTTGCCCACATCTCTACTGGCAGGGCCCTAGGAATGCCTTCTTCCGTATCCACTACACTTTAGGAAGCTAGAGCATATGTCAAAGGGTTGAAGCCTTTGTAGGGTACTCCTAAAAGGATAATGGATGGAGCTGAGTGAGAACCTGAGGTGTGGATGAAGACCTTGAAAAGAGAGACTGTCTGTAGGCAAGGCTGCTATCGGCAAGCAGGACCAGCCTTAGAGAGAGGCCTTGGGAATGACACCAGCATGGTCACTGCCCAGTGCTTCTCAAGCCCTTTGGAGCTCATACTACCCCGCCATGTTCTGAGGATGACAGTCAAGTTTTGCATATTTGCCCCGCTAGGTGTTGGTCTTGCTTTGGTCTACTACTTCCTTTGTGTCTACCCCATCCCCACCCCATGACAGGAATGTAATCCGTGTCTGCTATTGTAATGCTAGAAATAGGCATTCCATTCAGTTCCATTTCATTTCCAGGGCTCACAACTAGGAGTTTACCCGGAGTCTCACAGGAAACTTTGAACTTGGAATTTTTGTGCCGTGCTAGAAGTAAGAAGAGTGTAAGAGCTCTTGGAGATGGACTGAGTGCAGTTTGTGTGATGAAGAGCAGTAGAAGTTGAGGGGGGGGGGTACTGGGAGGGCTGACTCTGACTGCCGATCTAACTGTCACCTTGAGTGGGGCCCAACGGAATAACTGTGTCCGGAAGTCCTACCTTGACTGCATATGGCACCATCTCCTACGCTGAAGTCTTAGACTGAATGAACATGAGGGAAAGGAGAAGGCCAGCTGGGCATCCACAATCCCCTAAGATGTGTGAGGGCAGATTCATATTCCTGCCACCACATCCATGAGCAGCTCCTGTATCATCATGTCTCCCTGCTCTGGAGGACTTTACCCTTAAGTCAAGAGCCAAGATAAATTCTCCCACTGCTGAACTGCTTTAACGGCATCCTATCGCAGGGGCAGGATGAGAGAGTCATTAGTGCAGGGGTGAAGGTGTGAAATGCTACAGTGAGAATGTGCACTGTCCTGCAGAAAGGTGCATATGTGGAGGGTGGGGTCTATAGCAGGAGGTGCAATTGAGAGGTAACTGGATCAAGGGGGCACTAGCTCCTCGGTGGGTTCATCTGTCGGTGAGCACATATTAAGACAATGACTTGGAGAAATGGTACTAGGGTCACACCTTTGAAAACCATGGCTTTTCCTTCTCCTCTGTCTGTTTCCTGCAAAACTGAGAGGTGAGCCGCTTTCCTCTGCCACACCCAAGAGTTATGCCGCTTCCTTACTGCAGGTCCAGAAGCAAGGACGATGCACTGAAAACTCGTGAACTTCACGGAAGCGTTCCTGCTTTTGGAGTTGCATTCCTGGGTATCTTGTCACCATGGCGGAAGAGCTAACTAACATAGCAACATCTGAAGGAGATGAATGTCTTTGGGGGTGAAGACTCTTTTCAACTTGCTCCACAGTTTTCGCCTTAAGGACAGTTCTTCATGTGTCTTTGTTGCCGCCATCCTCTCCTATCCTCCCAGCACGCCTTACCTTGGCTAATGGACATAGATTGCAGGGACGCTGGTTCCCGCTTTTAAGTCTTTCTGCAGACAGTAGCTGGAAGCATTCCCTTTGAAGCATGAATTGCATCGGTTGCACTTCCCCCTTATTGCAGCGGTTGAATGAGATCTGTGTTCCTGGGATGATTTCTTAAGACTCTTCTGACTTCAACCCCTCTTTGCAAAACTCCTCCCTCACTGTGCATTCAAATTACAAGTGTTCCTTTTGTGCTTTTATTTTCCGGAGCACAGCTCCTGCTTGAGATCATACTGAGAGGAATGGTCTTGATTATGCACTGTCACTCAACTGCCCTCTCATCCCAGACTGATAGCGCTACAGTGGGGACTCCCTTAAGGTCTAGCCAAGTGTTTGCTAGTCAGCATCCCCAGAGCTAATCAGGACTTAAATATCTTTTGTGTTTCTTTAAATGCCAATCTCTTACTGTCAAAGTTCTTCCCTGGTCCCTCTATAACCTTGCACTAGGAAACACAAATTATAGGAGAAAACTAGGTCTGTAGCCAGATGATCCCAAATCTCTGCATCCCAAATCTCTACATCCCAGTGGATGATCCAAAATCTATATAACAAACATTCAATATGTATGCTTTTATATAGTGAATACATAAAACAAATATGTCCATAGAAGCTGAATGCTACTAACTCTGAGTTCCTTAAAATGTGTTCATTTTTGGTGTTTAATATTTCTAAAAGTCAGATCACTCCATACAGTCCTGCAGATTAACCAAGGAGCAAGGGGGTGGCACTAATTCAAAGTATCACTGATTTTGAGTTGCATTTAAACAATGGTATGGATGTGCCTTACCTAAAGATGAACTAACACTTTGTTTATAAAAACCTGCCATTTGACTTACTCTCACATTAGTTCCAAATTTAATTAGTCACTTCTGGTGTTAATGCCAAATCTTTCTAAAAACCAAGATAGCACAGGCTAAGACTAAATGCTACCCATCTGCATACACAATTAACCAAACACGAACTTCCTCTTTCTCCACTCCTCTACGGAAACCACACCTTGTTTGGTTTGGTCTTAGGAATACAAGGTAACAGACGGGGGAAAACTAAAGACAGAAAAGCCTAGGCTCCATCCTGACTGCCAGCCCCAGATTTGCCCACCTCCTACACTGCAGCTGAATTCAGCCTTCCATTCACTCATGGCTCAGACATTCCAAGGCTCCAAAATTCAATCTTCTCTCCAAATAATGCCTAGCAAAGCTCACCCAGATGGCCCCATTGATTTCTATTATTTTCTTCACTTGTGTGTATTTATTATTTACACTGGAGACTCTGAAAGCCAGCTTTTCCCATTGATACTTTATCAGCCACCTCAGAAGAAACTCAAGAAGTGATTTCCTCCCACCCCATGTATGTGGTGAAAGCACTAATAAAAGAAAACCATAACATCTGCATTCATTTCTCTGGGCTTTGAGCTTTCTCAGTGAAGAGGAACAAATTTGCTGGCTAACAGGAAGTCAGTGACCGACTAAACCCGGGTCAATTAAGGAAGGACAGGGTTGGGGGTGTGGAGGTAGTATGGGTGGTGTTGGGAGGGGTCAAGAATCTGCAATTGGTGTGGTTGACAGCGGAGGGAGAGAGGTATGTGTGCATTACACATGCTTTGGTTCTATGGTGGCAGTGTGCTACTGACAATTGAGAATGAAATTCATTCCTAAATAATGAGTCTACCATACTTCCTAGACCTTGGGCAAGTCTACCATACTTCCCAGACCTGGGGCAAGCCTCCTGAGCTCTGTGAAACTTCTCATCCGATACCCCTCATCTGTCTCCTTACCCGAGCTGTTGCAGAATGAGGGGTCCACGGGTCTTCCGTTTTTATCAGAGCATGCGATTGCTCGAAAGCGCACTCCTACTCCACATTCCTTGTCAGCTCCTTGCACCCACAGGCCTCCTCGCTGAGGATCCCTCTTGCTTTCCGGTAGAATGCAAGCTGACCAGTTTCCATAAGGATGGGACTTGAATGCATCACAGGGGCATGGTTCCATTTGCACCAGAGGGTACAGGGAAGCATCCTGGCATTTCTCTCTCTTCTTGCTTTTCCCTGGTACAAAAAAGACATGCACTGGTGTTAATTTTGTATCCGATGTTCCATTGAAAGCCACTCACATTTTTGTACATACAACAACCACTTGAACATTAAACCTTAAGTTTCAATCTTTTTTTTTTTTTTTCTTCACTTTTTTCTTTTGCTATGGAAACAAATTCTAGGACAAGGTAAGCAGTATTCTGGGAAGCCACGAAATTCAAATTAATGTGAAAATAAAATGATTTTTGTTTTAAATGTAGCACAACGCATTATACTTGCTATCGCAGTTCAATAATTATAAATCTCTTGCTAATTTATTTTATAGATTTTTCTCCCATCCCAATACTAACCCAGCAAACCTGGCTTAGACAAGATGGGGGTATACAGGTGGTGTCACTCTACTCAATTGATAACAACACTTTGGTTAGCCTTGTCTTCTTTAAACTAATGACTTCCAGGGAAACCAATAAAAGCATATGTCGCAAGTCCTTTCCTTCTCCAGAAAATAATTAAAAACTAATTTCTCCAAAAAGCATAATTGTATTCTCCACATAACAAGCTCAAAACGAAGGCGGAGGTTCGTTCCTCCTTATCTTGTTTCCTGAAGTCAGACAGAATATTAATGTTAAAATTAACAATAAATTGAAATAATCAGAACACGTTTCATGGTTTGAGGAAAATCAGTGACTTCCACTTGAGCAATGCTTCGTCTTGAGAACCCTGGTGTCACTTCATCTTACCTCCTAACTTTTCGGAAGTTTTAACTGTGTTTCCACCTTTGAGCAATGACAATGGAGAAACATTTCCAGACCTGTGAATGCTTGATAACCTTGTTTCCTGACTCCAGCTCAGTCTGAGACTTGATGCAACTTCTCTGTCAACATGTTTCCCCTAGAGCACAAGAGACTTTCCTAGATGTCATGTAATTATTTCTTCACTTCTCTTATTAGTGAGTCATTAGCTAGAGTCATAACTGGCTATACAAATCTTAGGCAGCTTTACTGGTCTGCTTGTGGGCTTTATGGCTATCATGTAAATACTTGATATTAGCCGATGTGTGGCCAGCTTTCTCACTGCCACATGGTTTGCCTCATACACAATTCTCAAAATGTTGCCTAGTGGATGATTGACTTATGAGCATGCTATTCATGCTTGCAAATAATCTGGAAGGATTCCTGTGAAATCTGAATCGCTCCTGCCTGGTGTGAACAACCCCTTGACCCAGGATTGCCCAACCATGATGTGAGCCATCTATTGGCCTTTCAGGGTTCTGCATTCACTCATGTCTGCTGTTAGGGACACTTAGTTCAGGCCAGATCTCATCACTGCCCTGAGAGTTCTCTGACCACAACACATTTGTCACCACACAGTCGCTTTCTTTCCCTTCGGCCCCCGACTAGAGCTGTACTCCTCACATGAAATGCTACTGAACTTCATTTCCATCTACGCGTTCTCTTCTTTGTTTTCAGCCTACTTAGTCTTGGATGCCAAGTCTACCCTGGGCCTTGGCATCACTTTTACCAAAATGATAAAATGCATCAGGAAGCAATCCATTTTTTATCTTCCAAATTTGATTGTCAATGACCTCTCAGAATGTTGATTGTAAACTTATGTTGGAGATTTTTCTCCCTGAATTCTCTCATAATATGCTCCGTTGACCCTTCCCCCTGGTCTGGGTTGCAGCATCCTTCCAGCCACAGTTCATTATCCCTGCTTTACTTGTCTACTGAACTTTCTCCCTGTGTACTCCACGTAGCTGAAGAGCTTCCCCACAGGACCCTCCTAGGCTCTCATCTCTAGGCTCATTTAATAGAGCTTAAGTTGCTATTTATAATTCTTACACTCTACAATATTAATTATAACCAAAATTTATTTGCTTGTCTCTGGGCCACAGACTAGAAGCCTGCACCTAAAACAGCTTTTGAATTGGATGTGGCAAAACCAGCCCCCCCCCCCACCACACAGTCTCCCCTGTGTTTGCCAACAATGCCAGGGGAAGATTACAATGTTACACCTGAATTATTTTGGATCAGTCCCTACATAGGACTAATGGCAACATTTAGAATAGTGGTCCAGGAGCCCTTAGGCCATCTTTTCTCTGGCTTTCTAACAGACACCCCTCTGATTGCTCAAATCCCCAAGTCTCCAGCTTTATTCTCTCTCTGCAGTGGAGGAAGACGGAAGAAGGAGAAAGGGAATGACAAGAAGAAATACCAGGGAAAGAAAATGCCCATCTATAAAGCAAACAGAGGTTACCGTTCAAACAAGCATCCTGTACAAATAGATGCTGTCTCTGATTGCGATTTCCCTCTTCATTACCTGGCCACCCTCTTTGAAGGACTGAAACAAGTTGATGCCGAAAGGTTTCTCCCAATAAGCAACACATCAGTACCGGGGTTTCACTTTGATTACATTCTAATCAAAATCAGCACTGACCTTTAGACTAAGACCAAGCTAGACTAAACAAATCAATCCCTGGCACAAAGGCAAAGACCTTTCCCCTAAAGTCAAAGCGCGAGTGATATAGTACCATGTGTATATTCCCATACTTGTGTAATGAACATATCCATCACTGAATAAACACTTGCTTTAATTACCACCCAACCCAGGATCTGTAAAGATTAGTTTAGAAATAAACAAGGAACACCCAGATGGCAAGTGAAAAACATTTAGTAAAAGCTGCTGCAACAACAACAAAACTTGGTATTCTAGATGGCCAATACTCACCGCAGCGCCTTGTGTTGGGACCTACATGCTATGTGTCTGTGTCATAGGTCTAAGTCATATGGTTTCTATTGCCACTCACATTAGAGAACAGTCATTAAAATGTCTGCCAAGTATCATGGGAGAAGGCAAAACACAAGAATTAATGTCACAGTAATAAGCCTTGAGAGAGGGGGAAATAAGCCAGTTCATTAATGTGTCTTTGGCTTTATGTTCATCAATATTGTTCTAAATGGTCCTTTGTTTTTTCATGACTAATGCATTTTATGAGACTGATCAATTGTGTTGTCACCTAGACGGACAGAGTGCAAAAAAAATCAATTAGCTAGCTAAAATAGTAGCAGCTAATAAAACATTACAATAACTCCTGAGCAGCCCTTTAGTAGAAGTAATCACTAACTTTGAATCATAGGATAATTTATAACAGTTTTCAATATGTACTTTTATAGAAAATACATCTTAAAATTCAAATTCATTCAGATGTTAACAATTTATAACATAAACAGTGCTGGCCATAAAATGGCTGGTCTTACTTTACAGGTGGTAAATATCACCAGCAAACCGCTGAGACAAGGGGAAACCCTGGCTACTAACTACAACCTGTCTCACCATCGGAAGCTCTTTCACCTCAGAGATGTGAAATATTTCTAGGGCAATGGCTTCCAACACACTGTGTGTGTGCAGGACAGCGAAGTAGCTGGAGAGTGGTCTCTAAGTTCAGGTTTTGTCTGTTGTGTTTACACTATTTATTGGATTGCTTTTTCTATCAGGTGTTTTTTATCGGAACCATTATATGTAAGCAGTGTTACATATAATACATTGTTTTGTATAACGCAGAAAGGCCTGCATCCTGCATTTGCAACTTCTCCTGTGATGATATATTTTACCTTCACTTTGTATGTAGATTTTGAGATCCAGCATGTATCCAGAAATTCAGCAAAAGCCCTAGTCTATCAACTGAACCAGTTTTAGAGAGTTGGATTATTAATGTGATCAGGTAAGCAGTGCCCTTGAACAGTGGCCCTTGAAACCAAGAGCTACCTCTGTGAACCAATGCTCATCTGTGCTCAGTCCTTCAATGTTGATGCCAACTGTATCATCACAATAACTATTCTGGCATTTTTCTTTTGGTTCTACATTCCCTGAGTTTTGTTTCCTACAAACACAAATGTATACACACTTAAGAGAAATCGCATGGCATTATCACACAAACAGGAAATTTGGCAGCAGTTTATTTTTATATTGACAGCAAAAAATGTACTACTAGCATCTGCTTCCCTTTCCATTAACCTTTGCAGAAATGCACAGTATCTTATTACATTCTGACAGAATGGAGTAAGACACAAAAGAATCCGCATGTGTAATTTGACTTTTACCTTATACCATTAAAGTCTGAAAGGGTCAAATTGCTTATCAGGAATGGCAAAAGACAATAATGTCAGTTATTTCACCTTCTTTCTGGGGGGAAAAAAAGAAAGAAAGAAAAAAAGAAAAAGCAGTGACTTTTTTTAAGCTTGCCAAACTTTTGCTAAGATAACAGACCAGGAACCTTGCCGTGGGATAGGCAGAGTAATTCATTGCATAAGATTCGTCTCATGAGCATAAAGAGTATAAACATGTGTAGAAGACTCCCTTGATATCAGCGGTCCCATTTTCCATTCATCTCATAAATATTTACTACATATCTATTAGATATCAGGTATTACTGCAAGTCTTAAGGATATGGACTGGGCATGGAGAGGAAGGCGATGTCGGATCGCATTTCTTTCTGTTGGAAGTTACGTTCTACATAAGTTATTTGGAGCAGTGTGTCTTGGCTGGAGCTGCAGTGGCAGACGCACCCTACCTGTGAGCTGCCGCCTCCTGATCTGGGTTGCTTCACAGTTCTTGGAGCAGGGTGTAAACTTAGACCAAGGGGTGAAGGTGCAGTCTTCCCGACAAGGGACAGTGCATTCTTGCACCAGGGGAGGCATACCATTCATCTGCTTGAGGCATTCTGTCATTTCTGCAGACTGGTTATCATCAGAGATGCACGAGACAGCTAGGAAAGAACAGACATTCTTTTGTTATCGCTTTGATCAAATCAGTGTGCTGCTGTTTCTTTGACAAAATTGCAGAAGTCCCCGGTGTTTGAAAATGTGTGACTACATATGGTGCTCAGCATAGCTAACCTCACGGCTCCCTAGAAATTAAATTTTTATTGTTGCCGTTGGAGGTATTTGAGGATTTAATTGGGTTCATTATTAATCCAAACCTTGAATTGACAGGAACCAAAATAACTTCCAGTAATGTATTATATGTCCTCCTTAGGAGCATTTGATCCCTAGAGATGAAATAAACATAGGAAAGTGCATTGGTAAAACAGACAGAGACCAGAGTAGAAAAGGACAAATCCATTGTTAGAAAGTCATGTGGACATTTGCTAGGCTGGGTTTCTATTGGTTGGATAGTCAGATGACCATTATGGTATAAAAGTAATTCTAATTACATCAGTCAGTACTTAAAGAGGAATTTCTGCTAACTCTAAATAAGCTTATTTTCTCTTTATTAATACTTATTTTATTATTTTATTTTAAAATAACTTCCCCAGAACAGTCGTATTCTAACCAGATGATTCCCACTATAAACATCCTATCAGTTTCAAGTAAATTCTCAAAATTTCTTCCACACCCTTTTTCTTTAGGGATGTGTCTAGCTATATCATTAGTAGCAACTATGAGTTAAAACATTTGTGAAATTTCCTTTGAATTTTATTTGACGCTTTGGACTAATGTCTAAAATACTTGATTAAGAATACTCAACAGTTTGATTCACTTGATTAATTATGAACTCTGAAAGATGTATAGGACAGTAGGCTGCTCTCTTTAGATAAACATTTCTCAACCCCATCACTATTGGAAATTCAAAGTGGAAAATTTTTTGTAGTGCCTGAGTGAGGATTTTGCAAGGCAAGCTGTATAATGCGCTCCCTGGCCTTTCTACCCATTACCTGCTATAACACACACCACTCCAGGTTGTTACAATCTGAAATGTCTCCAAACAGACCGCTTTTGAACAAGTGGTTTCCATGGCTCTGTGCTAGTAGGTGTCCTATTGTCAGCATCTCTAGCAACCTATCTGGGGACACTTTTTTCTCTAAGTCTTCCATGTGATTTTAACCCATCCTTCACCACTGCCCATATTTGGCTATTGGACATGGTATCCATTTGGTTAGTTGATTTGATTTTTTTAAACCTTTATATAGTGATGATTTCATTTCCTTTACATACCTGAAAGTTTTGCTTTAGAGCAGTGGTTCTTGACATTCTTAATACTGCAACCCTTTAATACAGTTCCTCATGTCGAGGTGACCTCCCCAGCCATAAAATAATTTCATACTTCATAACTGCAATTTTGCTCTGTTATGAATCATAATGTAAATATCTGCTATGCAGGATATCTCATATGAGGCTCCTGTGACAGGTTGAGAACTGCTAGCCTAGAGGGCAATTTTGTTACTTAGGAACATTCATATGGTTTCTTATAAGGACTGAATTTATCTACATTCCTGTCTATAGTGTACAACAATTCCTTTTCCTCCGACCCCAACGTCCAGCCCTGTACACTTTTCTTATCTTTTGATGTTGTATGTTATATTTCTTATCAATCTTTATAAATACATTTATTTCTATTTGTTGTACAGAGTCCTAGGTTTCATAAGAACATGTTCATATAAGTATATGACGTATTTTGACAATGGCCCATGTAATTACTTCCCACCTCTCTTTCTTTGTTCACACTTTATTCCTTGTCCCTTTCTTCCTTTCTCCCTTCCCTTCCTATTCCTCTTGCTAGCATCCTCATTCTCTTAGACAATTACACTTCTATTTTTGTGTCATACATCTTTATGTACATGATATTATGTATTATGTAATACATAGAACTTATTATAATATTTGAATAACAATAATAATCTGAAGTTGAATCAATTTTCCTGTACATATAATTTGGTTCAGACAAAATAAAATTCTTTTGTAGATATATACAACGTCTTCTCTTTCATTTAAATTTTTGTTGTTTTTAAGAATTTCACATGAGTGAATATCATATCCATATCATTTTCATTTCTCCTCATTCATTTCCAACTCATCCCATGGCTCGCCCTGTCCCTCTCAAATTCATGATCTTTCCCTCTTTAATATCGTTACATAACACACAGGCAGACAGACAGACAGATGGATGGACACACACACACACACACACACACACATTCTACTGAACCCATTTAATGTTTCTAATATGTACACATGTTTTAGAAATCTTATCTCTGCAAAAAATTAATTTCACCCTCTCAGTAGCAATGAATTGCCTGTAGCTCTTGATTTATGAATGGAAACTGTTGAAAATCCCTCTTTAAATGGCCATGTTAACTAGTCAACTGGTATTATTTGGGTTTCTTCAGCAAGCCATATTGTTGAGATTTCAAAGATGTAGCTTTCCTATCATGGCTAGATGACACTATCTGGCAGTGAGTGTTGCTGTCCTCTGGCTTTTAAAATCTTTCTGCAAGTCTCTTCAGATAGAAAAAAAGTCAGTACCCTATACTCTATCTGATCACCATGGATGTAAAAAGCTGGATATCAACAAACATTAAAATGGCAGACAATATACAAACTTGTGGAAGCTGAACAACTCAATAACACATGAAAATTGAGTTAAGGCAGTTATCATAAAGGAAATTTAAAATGTTTTAGAACTGAGTGAGACTGAAAACACAGCATATTCAAATGCAAGGGACACCGTGGAGGAGACAGTTCAAAGAGGCAAGATCATAGCATTATGAGCGTACACACAAAAATCTGAAGAAATTCCACAGTTTAACTCAATGGCATACTTGGTATCTCTAGAAAACCAAGAAGAAATAATACCTCAAAAGAGGAGATGGTAAGGAATAATCAAATTTTGGGCTGAAATAAACAAAATGGAAACAAACAAACAAAAACATAAAAATAATTGATGAAACAAAGAGTTGGTTCTTTGAGAAAATCAACGGAAGTTGTGAAGCTTTTGAGCAATCCAAATTAAACCAAAGACATGGAACAAATTAAAGACGAGAAAGGAAACATTGTAACAGACATCAGAGAAATTCAGAGTATCATAAGGTCATACTTTGAGAATCTATATATCACCAAACTGGAAAAACAAATGTATGTATGTATGATGTATGTATGTATGTATGTATACATGATGTATCAAAGTTAAATCAAGATGAAATAAACGATTTAAACAGACCTATAATCCCAAGTGAAATAGAAGTAGTAATTAAAAATCTCCCAACCAAAAAAAAAAAAAAATCTTGGGGCCAGATAGATTCAGTGCATGGTCCTACGAGATCTTCAAAGAATGAACACTAATATACCTAAAATTATTCTGCAAAAGCAGAAGGAACATCACCTAATTCTTTTTTTTCCCCTTTGAGACCACAATTACCCTGACACCTAAACAGTGAAAAATAAACTGCAGAAGTCACCTGAAGGGAAGGCCTCCAATGCCTGTGAATTAGTAAGATTAATATTGGGAAAATGGCCACTCCCTCCCCCAAAAAATAACCTACAGATCCAATGCAATTTCCACCAAAATTTCTACACAAGTATTCACAGAAATTGAAAAATAAATCTTCAACACACACACACACACACACACTCACACAAATGGGGTAGATTTTTTAGAAATCATAAATAATTAAAGAGCTGCTGGGAGCGTCATCATCCCAGATATCAAGTTGCATTATAGACTATATATTATAGACATTATAGATTATAGAACTATAGTCACAAACACAGCAGGGTACTGTCTTAAGCCAGACACACTGGCAAGTGGAATAGTATTAAAACATAATTCTGCATAGCCATGGACTCCTGATTTTTTTTCAGAGAAGCCCGAATTACACACTGGAGACAAGACAGCATCTTCAACAAATGGTGCTGGTCAAACTAGACAGAATACGTTCTGATTTTCTTATGATGGCTGTACTGACTGGGGTGAGAGGGAATCTCATTTTTCTGATGGGTAGGGATGTTGAAATTTTTTCATATGTTTATTGGATGTTGTACTTTATCTTTTAAGAAATAACCATTTACTTCTTTCGCCGGTTTATTCTATTTTGGGTGTTTTGTCCGCATGTCTTGTATGGCTCTCATAGAGTTCAAAAGACGGCACCAGATCCTCTGAAACTGGACTAATGGATGGTGGTGAATCATATGTATGTTCTGGGAACTGAACCTGGGTCTTCAGAAAGATTATCAAATGCTTTTAACTACTGAGTCATCTCCCCAACCCCCTTAATTGGGTAGTGTGATTCCTAGCGTTTAGTTTTTAAATTATTTGTATATGCTAGGTATTAATTGTCAGACATGCAGGAAATAAGCTTTCTCCCATCCTGTAGGCTTTTGCTTCAATCCTCCTTTTCTGGTCAGGGGCTTATCAGCTTCCCGAGACTCAAGTGATCAGGTATGGACCTTACTTCACAAGTAATTAGAGTCACTTTCAAGAAGCTTGTGTCTATTCCTGTATCCTGAAATGCTTTCTTGAGTTTTCCCTCTTAACAGTTATAGAATTTTAGATCTGACATTAAGGCCTTTGATCCAGTGGGAGCTGGTTTGTATACAGGTGTGAGACAGAGATCTAATTTCATTCTTTCATGTGTGGACATCTGGTCTCCTCACACAATCTGTTGAAGATGTTCTCTTCCTTCGTGGCTTTAGTTTTTCATTGTAATGGTCTTCCATCTCCCTAAGTTAAGTTCATTTTTAGGTATTTTATTGTATTTTTCTGAGGCTATGGTGACTGAAGTTGTTTTAGTGTTCTTGTTCTGGGCATTGTTTGTCATTGGCGTACAGGTGGGCAACTGATTTTTACTGTTTTCTTTGTAACTTGTCAGTTTTCTCTAAATGTTTATCAGCTCTAAGGGTTTTCAGGTAGAGCCTTCAGGGTTTCTTCTATATAGGGTCACAGCATCTGAAGTTAAAAATATTTTGACATTTTCCTTTCCTATTCACATCCATTTTATTTCCCTCTTGTACATTATTTTTCTGGCTAGTAATTCAAGTGCTAGCTATATAATAAAGTGGAGGAATGGACACCCTTCCGTTCTGATTTTGGTGGAGATGCTTTCAGTTTTCTCCTCATTTACCATGATGCTGGCTTTAGATTTCTCAAATACAGCTGCTACCACATTGGGATATGTTCTTTTTGCATTTCATCCCTTCAGAGCACTTGTTGTGAAGGGGTTCTGGGTATCTTTTCAGAAGCCTTTTTTATTCCATATGTTGTGATGATTGGATGTTGTGATGTTGTGGTGATTTCTGTCCTTAAGTCTACTCATATGCTGGAAAACAGTTCTGGATTTGAATGTGTTGAATCAGTCTTGCACCCTTGGGAAGAAATTAACTTGGTCATAAGGAATGGTACTTTGATGTGTTCTTGAGTTCAGTTTGCCAGTGTTTCATTTAGACCTTTTGTATCTAACATCATCATGGGAAATGCTCTATAATTTTCTTTTTTTGTTATGTTCTCTGATTTTGGAATTGGGGCAATACCGGCTTCTTGAAAATAGCTTGGTTGCTTTCTTTCTTCCTAATTATGGATTAGTTTGAGGGGCACAGGTGTTAGTCCTTCTTTGAAAGTCTTGTGGGAACACAATGACTCCATCTGGGCTTATATTTTTTTTTTAAAGCAGGAGGACATTTTTTTTTCCTGATTATTGCTTCAATCTTCTTGCTTGTGAGAGATTTGTTTGTTAAGCTGTTTATGGAACCCTGGTTTATTTTGTTATTTGATATATTGTCTGCAATTTTACCCATTACTCTTTAATTTTATGGTTTATCGTAATATATTTTAAAGTATATTTTTTGCCATACTGTAAAAAAAATCATAGTTGGGGCATTTTATTACAACTCATTAATAGATGCCAGGTGACAACGTACAATGATCCCTAAATACAGGATGGATGCAAGTATGAACATTGTAAACATCTGTAATGCAGGCGAGTATAAATGCAGGCCCCTTCCAGTTTCCTATTCTTATTGTATTCTAAATCCCTTTCTTCATTCAGGGCACGAGAGAGAGCAAGTTTATGAGAATATTACAAATCCTCTTCAGGGCTGATGCAAGCCAAAGCCATTCAATGTTTTAAGGCCAAGAAACTAGCCCACATGACAATGGAAAACCACAGTACTTCCCATTTGTACATCTGCTCTATAGCAGGTGGGGCTATTCATTCATTTCAATTAGTTTTTATCCACATCCTGGTTTAAAAACATCTATTGCACACCAAGCCAACATCACCTGCATCTTCTTTGTTAGGAATATCACGGCCATTAGTGACGAAAATAGCAAAATACATTATCAAATGTAGGGCACAAACAAATGTTATTTGCATTTCACATTTAGATAACCAATTTGAGTCAATTTAGAGAAATGTGTCCTGCCAAGTAAATTTTTTTTTTTTCCAAGATGACGATACACTGAATTACAGGACAAGAAATTTAAATAGTTATAAAAGCACCAGCATCTGAAATATAATCCCTGATGTACATCAATGAAAATTTTGTCAATGACAAGAAAATGCTTTGCTCCTTTTCTATACTTTCTTATGAATAAGTTTAGAATTGGGAAGCTATGACAAATAATAAACTCACTGATGCTTTCATATTTCATAAACCAACTAAATTGTTACATTTAATTTTTGAAGTCTATATTAAGCTATTACAAAATAGTGAAGGAAAGAAAAACAAGATCCTATGCATGGCATGGCAGAAGAGGTCACAGACACAGGGAGAGAACTAATGCCACACTGACAAAGAATCTGACTTCCTTTGAAGCTGTTGTCTTTACATTCACAGTCAAGTGCATGTCTCACCCCTCATCCCCACAGCTTTTCTTTTACAACAGAATCTGTTGCAGAGAACCTTACATGGCCAAAAATGCAGAGAACAATATATGGACTGCCCATTCCGAGAGGGGATGTCTATAACATAACTCCTACACCCAAGGCTGGAAAGATTCTAAGAGACAGAGGACCAGAAGACTGCTGAAAAATAGTGCCTCTGGACTTGACGTGGATGCGACACCCCCAACCTCCTGAGAAAACTGTTACCTACACAACAGTACACCAGTCAACATTCCAGCTATATGGGCAAAGGTTCACTAAGTCCCACCTCTAGTTATGGAGCTGCTGGGGGAAGGAAAGTCTGTTTTCTTCAAGGAGAAGCCCCCGTATAAGCTCTTCCCCAAGAAGTCAGCTCCACACCTGAGTAGATATGCAATGGCAAAAACGAATTGGACTCATCAGGATGTGTGTGTGTGTGTGGGGGTGTGTGTGGGTGTGTGTGGGGGTGTGTGTGTATGTGTGTGGGGGTGTGTGTGTATGTGTGTGTGTGTGTGAGAGAGAGAGAGAGAGAGAGAGAGAGAGAGAGAGAGAGCATATGTTTTGATAACACCCATATCCCCCATATCCAAAGTTTTGTTAAGGAAATCCAATGTGAGGAGTAGCAGCTGGAAAACCGTGGACCATGCATTCATTAGGTTTGACTAGGAATTGTGGCTTCCACATTTTTTTCAATATCAAGTGTGAAAAGATAATTGGAAATTAAAACAATAGCAAGTGGCAATTTCCTTTATGAGAATATAATAGTAGTCTATTAAAAATAATTTTATTGATAAGAGTTTATTGAATGTCCATTGAATTACCCTGTATGATAAGAAAGGGCTGAAAAAATACTAAGTAAGCAGGTTAAAGCCCTTGAAAATAATCACAGGAAACAAAGTCAGGGGAAATGCAGAGAGAAGACCTAGATGAGGGACACAGAAGCCAGAGGCACGAGCTAATTCCACACCCTTTCCATTGTACAACCCACAGGCAAAAGATATTCTTAAACTATATCCCTTGCATATAAGCTATGATATGGCTCTGACTACATAAGGTATGTAGTCTCCTTAAGTCAGACAGCTTGTTATGAAGAGCAAATAAGAAGCAAGAGTTTACTTTTGAAACTGCAGGCTTGGACGTCAAACAGAACTAAGGGCGATCACACACTCTTTACAATGGCCCCACCCAGTTTATGCACTGCTCTTCAGACTCGACTTATTCAAGAAAAGGGGATGGTAATAGTAAATGGTAAATGTCTACTGATAAACTGATTGAAGCGACTAAGCAAAGCATATATTACATTAATTAGATAATGCCAGGATTACAACACTGTATTATCAACCAATTTAACCACTTCAACAGAATTAAGAGGCAGGGACGAATTCACTCTCCAGTTCTTGGTTCAAAAAAGGCCTCCCTAATCTTATTGATCTACTTGAGACCTAAGTCTACCAGAGCCTTTGAATACAACATAGAGTTCAGTAGTCTCATCTAAAGGCAGCAAGACTTCTGGAAGATACTGTCTGTTAAGTGTTAAGCTGCGTATTCTATTTAGTGTCTATAGGAGTGGGGCTTGTATGCTAAAGATCACAATCCCAAGGAAAGGTAGAAACTCAATCCAAGGCCTGATGGGAAGTCTTTCAGGGAACGCTAAGATTCAAGATCTTCAAGAACACCGAAGAAGGGATTGAAGTGAAGGCAGAGAAAGTGGAGCCTGTACATAAAAATGGTGGCCATCTTACGTACATGAGGCAGTCATGTCCACAATAAAAGTTACTCTTCTCCGCTAAGGTTAAATTAAGGAGGATTTAAATTTTAGCAAGAATTTAACTCATATGGTAAAGGTTTTCCAATCGTGATAACAATTTGGGATTCATTACCAAAGCGAAGAGATGTGAATTTAAGATACAATTAATAGTGACGTCTGAGGATTAGAAGTAAAACTGTTAAAAGTCACTTTTGCCCCATGCAGAGTGGTTGAGCTACTATACCCCGCTTAAATCCTGATCACACTCCAGTATCTGCTCGACATGATTGTTGAACTTAATTCATTCAATTGATCATACAGTGAGCTGAACACACACACACACATGCACGCATGCACGCACACATGCGTACACATATACACACACAGAGGGTGGGGTGGGGGTGTCAGAATGCTAACAAGGCGTCATGTATGCACAGAAGCATGTATACAGTTATGTATACATACACATATGCATAATGATAGGTACAAATGATCTGTTCTACTAGGCCATGGGAATGACAGTCACAGGAAAGAAGACAGATAAAGGGACACCATTGTCCTTTCCGTAATGGCGATAAACCCAGGGAAAGCTTAGGTTGGAGACATAAGTATGATGAATGGTACAATATAAGATATTGATATGATGGGGCAAACAAGACAAATAAGCCATAGCTGAGGGTTTATCTCTGAGAGAGCCACTTGGATTTTAGCTTAGTTGAATTCTAAGACATGGATTCTTCAGATCATGACAAATTACTTGCAGGCCACAATTCAGGGGAAAATTTCTCTTTTGGTGCTTTCAAACTTCCCAAGCACTTATCGTGCTAGTAGGAAATGATTTCCACTGGGGTAAGAAGACAGGTTCTCTTCCAACCTTTCCTGCTATGCATTTCCAACTGGACTGAATCTCTAAGGGGAGTGGTAATTCCATCCCTCATTACATTTCATTTATTATAGTTTTAAGGTTGCTGGCTTCACTGGAGATGGTCACACTCTGAGGTAAAAGTATTGCAAACAGATTCAGAAGGATCTCATTACTAGGCATTGCTTTAAATTCAGCTATGTTGAGCTCTGGACAGATAGCTCTGAGTGACTACAGGTACTATGGTGTTTCTTTGATAGAAATGAAGAATCAATAAAAATAAATAATTTAATTAAATAAATACAAAATTTAGTATCTGACTGGCTGTGCAAGGGGAACCTGAAAATTCTCCATAAACATCTTTATCTACTTCTGCCTTTTCTAGAGTCTTCCCAAGTATATAATACATGGGGAATTAGAGAGGAAATGGGTGTTATTAATTACTAGAAGAGGCACAGAACATAAAACTTGTGTGAATTCAGGAACAGAAATAAGAAAGAACTGCTGTGAATTCTCTGAGTTTTGAGGAGTCTTTAAAATGAGAGATGAACAGATAATTGAAATCATCAGATTTTTGTTGTTGTTGTTTGGTTTGTTTTGGTTTGTTTTGGTTTGGTTTGGTTTTGGCTATTACTAAGTGGCTGGCCTTTCTTCCCACTTTCTAAACTTTGATATCCAAGCACGCTGTGATAAGTTTCTCCCCCTTTTCAATTATGCTGTGAGGAGGACAAGGGTTAGTGGCCTTATGACAAAAAATGATAATATTCTGTCAGGAGACAAAATAAGGATGGAGCCTGATCCTTCAGAGCTGTCCAAGCTCATCACGCTCACCAAGGACATCCAAATTACTTTGTAACGGTGCTTCTGACCAGAGTTCAACAGTAATCACTGAAAGATAAGGCTAGAATGAATTTCTTTCAAGAGGTCATGGTTTCCAGGACTGACTCTATGAGCGTTGCTGCCCTACAAAAGAGGGTGGCCTAGGATGAGGTTCAGAACTCACTGCACACACATCCAGGAGCTGAGCAAGTGCTTAGCAATGGTTCAGCAAGCAAAATTTCATGATGCATTTACTTTATATGTGGTCCAATTGCACATGTAATAAACATGAAAATAAAAACCTACAAAATGCAGGTGCTCCAAGAGTACAGACACAGAGTCTCAGGCACTGAATAGTCAGAAGGGTCCGGAAAGGATCTATGTAATGAATGTGTTCAGAGGGTTAGATCATATGGTGTTGCTTGGAGAAAAGTGTGTCAGATGAGCTGGGTTCCTAGTCTTGCTGCTTGCTGCTCTTGGTAGACCCTCACCAATAATGTTGGCATTACACATTCAATACTATGTATGAGGTGGCAATACCAAGTTGTCCTTACCTTGGGGAAAAAATTTAGAACACAAAGATTGTAAACTCAAAGAGCTAAAGGCCATAACTTAAATTTAAAAAATATATAAAAAATCAGTTCTATCCTCCTACCTTAACAAATGCTTTATCATTATGACTGGGCAGCTAAAGTCCCTGGTACTTTAGTATAAGGGAAATTGCTGCAGTGCTTTTAATCCTATTTTTTGCCCATGGTGTGTTAGTTGATTGCTGCTAATGTAATAAATGGCCCATACAGTGAGTGGGTGAAGAGAAATCCATTTTATTAGAGTTCTCACCATTAAAACTCTGAAATCCACCTGGAAATCCAAAATGGCAACAGGGTGGGTTCATCTAGCAAACCCTGCTAGAGAGTTCATGGACTCAGTTTCCAGAGGTTACCCCCACTCCTAGCTCACAGTCCCTTCTTCTGACTACAGTTCCAAAAAAAAAAAAAAAAAAAGTCGTCATTCTATTTCCATCTGCCTCTGGCACTCCATTACAAC